GCAAGGACCACATTCTGTTCGTATTCCAGATACATCCAAACTAGCAACTCTTTGTCTTCTTGTACCTCCAGCATGCTCAAAAGTATTCCAACTTTTCAAATTACACTCACATTTCCTCCTACAGCTTACAGAGAGTACTAAGTGTATGCTAGATCCTAAGAATAGCAAATATCAGTCGTACCTGGCAAGGAATTGCTGCACCCCACTCCTGCTGGACAATGTTGCAAACCCCCAGCAGCGCTGACTCTAAACAGGTCTTGTCATAATCATCCATGTTACTTAGGGCTTCCTGTAAAGACAAACACCACCACTGTCACAGCTGGGTGAAATATCACTACAGGGAAACATAGGAAAGTTATTCACTGTTTTGTGGTCGGTGAGTATATTTGCTTTGTATGGTAACACAATGCAAAGCACTATGTTCTTATGTAAAACCTACTAAGGTTAAAAAAAAGTGAAAGAGAGATGTAAGAAATAGTGAAGAATATGAGAAAATTGTAAAAGCTGACTCCGAAGGAACTATAATATTACAAACGAAGCTCAAAAATCATTTGCGTGTCTCAAACACAGTAAAGTCAAAAATTGAAGCAATGCCTAACATGAAACATTTAGCTCAGAAAATCTTCCCAGGTGTCAGAGCAACTTTAACTTCTTAGAGGTTCAGAAAGTTGGCCATGAGGAGCTTGTGTCACAAAAACTCTTTGGCAGAGAGAGTAAGAGAATCCAAACCTCGTATCCACGTCCTCTTTCTATAACCATAACCCAGCTTTTCTCCTTCAAAATAAAACGTCACACTTAACACAGCATCATAAGGGTGCCGCTGTAAAACGAACACGCTGGAGGAGCTTGGCTGGATTCCTGGCTTTCAGAAATTCCTCAAATGAAAATAAAGCAAAGAGAATGCATTGGCATTCATCTGCTAAAATGCAAACATAAGAGGGTATCTTTTAAAATCTGCATGTCCCACAACTAAACATGGTGCCCTGTGACAGCGGGGTACATTTCTTCTTGATATTACACATGATAAACAGATACATACGTGCAATTTTTCCTGGCTTCAGAGACTTTTCATGCCATACTGCAATCACATACAATTTCCTTCTTGGACTTTCTCCTTTCCCATCACATCTGCAAGCCCTAAAATCACTTTATTCTCATTCTCACCCTGCTTCAACCGGTACATACTCTTAAAAAGCACCTTCTCTTTACCAAACCATTTGACTCAAAACCTTCCTAGGACAAGAGGAAATGGACTAAAGTTGTGCCAGGGGAGGTGTAGGTTGGACATTAGAAGAAACTATTTCACTGAGAGAGTGATTAAATACTGGAATAGGCTTCCCAGGGAGGTGGTTGAATCACCATCCCTGGAGGTGTTCAAAAGACTCACTGACATGGCACTAAGGGATATGGTTTAGCTCCAGATTTGGCAGAGTTAGGTTATGGTTGGACTTGATGATCTTAAAGGTCTTTTCCAACCAAACAATTCTATGATTTATCAAGATTAAATCAACAATTACAGACAAAAACATGAATGTCACAGAACCCCTGGCATTTTTAAGAGCTCCATCGGGCAACCCTGTCCTCCATCCCCACTTTTAACTTATCCAGAGGTCGCCTGCAAAGGTGCAATTCGTGAAGTACCAAAACGTTTCAAATGCATTTCACCTATCGTTACAATACAGATAAAACACTCAATTCAAGATGCTGTGCACAGGGTGACAGGAACTCACAGCATTTCACTGTCATTCTGAAACACATGTGGGGGTTTTGGCTTTGTTTTTTCCCTGCTCACAACTTACTGCTTTTGCACTTCAGGCACCCTACCTGGAGCGTGTTGTAATCCCTCGTAAAGGGCACCATCAGCTCCCAGAGCGACGAAAACACCACCAAGGCCGTGAACTCCAGCTTGTAGTTGGTGGCCATGTGCTCGAAGAGCATGGTCAGGCCGTGGACAGCCAGGTGTTTCCGCTGGTACTCCTCGGAGCCCTCCACCGACACCGGCCGTGTCATGGAGAGGGACACGTCCATCACCACCACCGTCGGCATGGTGAGCGGCTCCTCTCTGCTACCGCCGCGGAAAACAGTGATCTGCTGTGTGAAAGGGGAAGAAAAAAGCAATTTATCATTATAAGCCGTAGTTATGAGGCGATGCAGCTTGCCCTCTCACTCTGACACCACTGTATGGAGGGGAAAGTGATAATTACCCTTTTGCCCCCGTCAAAATATAGGTTTTCGTGCAGATTAAGTCAATGGAAGTGCTGCTGGACCACACAGAGCTACGGAACCGGCTGTAAAGGCCTGGAAACGGCAACGCGGCCAGCGCTGAACTCGATGGGGGAAAGGGAGAAGCAGGCGCACCCCAAGGGCCGGCCCGGGGACCCCCAGCAGGGAGCCACCCTCCCTCCCAAGTCTTCCTCCTCTACAGAGCCTGAGAGACACCCCCCGGGGACAGCTCGGAGTGTTCCGGAGAGAAGGGGAAGGAAAACGCTGTAACTCACCCTCAGCCCGCCGTGCCGCCATGGGTCCGTCGCTGAAACCGTCCCCCCCGGAACGCCGCGTCCAGGCGGGAAGGGGCCGGGCGACTGCCGGGCACCGCCCCACACAATCCCGGTCTTTCCACACGCGGCCTCCCAGAGGGGGGACAGTGGAAAAAGCGGTATTTTGATCAGTAAAAGCAGGAGAAATGTGTAATACTGCATACATTAGGGACAGCGACTCAGCTAGACGCCAGTATTGTGGAAAAGTACTCCCGTGTTAGAAATAAAATGACTGTGGTGCACAGAGTAGAGTTGGTGGCTGCAGACCTCCTCCTCCCAGGACTGTGGGAGCAAGGATGAGGGGGCTCGATAAAAGCCCCTTGCAAAGATTGGATGTACCCCTGCAAAAGTGTCCCTTCAGACAACAATTAGCTTCAAAACCATCAAATCCTCATTTGCTAATTCCTCTGTGATAAATCTGCTGGTTGGATTTTTATGACCACGAAAACTTTGGCCAGGAATAATGTTATTTCTTCCTCTGTGGTGCTGCACAGTACCAGTGTCACTCACACAAAGCAGTTACCGACACCAGCCTGGGCCCTGCAGTGTCCCTCTGCCTCCATCATCGTGGCGCAGGAGCTGAGGGATCTTTCCAGGAGACAGCGAGTTTCAAACCTCCCTCTGGCATTGCAAAGGAGACTCATCTTGTGGCAAAGGCCGGCAAGATCTGCCCATCTGGCCTGTCAGCCATACGAGGTGCCTCAAAATGAAGCTATGTGCAAATGGTCCTGTTTAAGTGACCTCCATGCAGAGGAGCGGTGTGATTTACCCTTGCCGCTCATAGTTGTGTGTGTCTCGTAGTTGGTCCTTTCATCTGGTAGTTTGTAATGGAAATAATCGCCCGCCCTCATACTGAGAATAACCTGTAGCGGCACACAAAGATATTGGCTTCACAGAGATAGACCCAAATCTAAACAATACTATTTAATCTTCTTAGGGACTGCAGGTATTAAACTGGATTGGCTGTTCCTCCAGTAATATGTCCTTCATGCCTGACCCTCTCTTGTATTAGATCACTGCTAGCAGAGGCATCGTGAAAATGGGATCATTTTCATCTGCCTCTCTCTGCAACAGCATCTCCCACCTGGCTGGTAAGGATCCAGCACTACGCTCAGCCCTTGGTACTCCTCTTCCTCTTGGACGGCAGCGTTTTTGGAAGGTAAGCTGCAGAGGTTCATTGGGTTGCTTCAAATCTCTTATGGCTGAGACAGTCCAAGTGGCAAGAACGGAGCTGGTAAGAGGTTGAGCTGTAAAAGAACTGCTAAACTTACAGGACTAGAGAAACAAGGGCTGACCATCAGATGTTGGGAAAGGCTGGAGAGCCCTTCCCATTAATCGCAGCTTTGGGTACGTTTCTGCTTGCAAAACGTCTTTTAGGCAGCTCATTTTGGAGAGGAGAAGTAAAAACAGTGTTTAAATAGGAGTGTGTGCATATGTCTTCTGTTCTCTGTGTCATTCATTTTCTTCTCTTATCTTTCTCACAAAGGGTTATTTTCTAATAATGTGCAACTTGTTACACATATTATGCAGTTCTGCCATATTTATGTTTATGTGCTTTTTACATGTGAAAAGCAAAGCTTACATCATCTATTTATCTAGGTACTCCCATGACCCTCTATTACTGTTGCCTTAGTGATCCTCCCAGCTATTTAAAAGAAGACAATAATGCCCTTCTTGCAAGAAATTTAGGCTGATTACTTCCCTGGGTGTTATGCAAGAGGGTAAGTGTGTGCTAACTTGCATGAAGAGCTCAGCTGAGAATGGCTTACAAAACTGTGATTCACAGCCAGCTCAAGAATAACGTAACATCCCCACTCTGGAGAAAAAAACTAAACCCCAAAAAGTGATATTCTAAGGTAAAACGTTCAAGCAGCGGTGAAGGGTAAATTCCGTCCAGCCTCAAATCACTGTCTCTGTTCTGTCACAGCTGCAGGCTCTGTCACTCTGGCATTTACAATTTCTCTCCCTTTCTGAATGCTGTTCAAATAATTATGCAAGACATGCTAATTACCCCCTGATAAAAGGTATGATTACAATTCCACTTTGCCAGTTCCGATTTCTACAGAAAGGCTTGAAAAGATGTAGTCATAGAAACAAATGGATGCTCAGCACCCCCAGCTTTACCAGAACCAGGTCTTCCTCATGCTCTTCTCAAATGGAAAGAAAACAGCTCACGATTGCTCTGTTTGCATTCTGTGGGCATGCAAGACTGGGGAGCCACAGAGCAGCGTGGCTGGGGGCTGTCACGCAGGTCTCATCCTCCTGGTGAGGTTACTTAGGTGAGTAACTGGTCTGTTAGGAGGGAGGCTTTAACAGCATGATCTCGTCCTCAGAGCATCATCTTTTCTAGCAATTTAAAGTCATTTCCTTGACAGAAGCCGTATCCTCTAGTCCTGCAGAACACTGGTTGTTAATGTTATAGAACAACAACTGGACTCAAGTGAAAACACAAACCTCAATAGCTCCTGGATACAGGAAGAATCAGAATTCAGCTCAGTTGGACTGTCTTGGCCAACTCCTCTCTGTATTAAGCCAAACTCATGATTATTAATCAGCATAGCCTACAGTCATCATAAAAAAAGGACTGGAGCCTGAATCTAGATCTGACTTTACTCATTTAACTCCATTTCTTCTTATTGGAAAATAAAAAAGCAGGCAGTGAAGTGATGTTACCCACACAGTGGGAAGTTGCCGTACTTCACTTTTTACACTGCATTTTCTTTTGCAGGATTCTACACTTGGTGTCATGCAGTTCCACTCCTGACGCTTAAGACCAGCCAGAGGCTCCAATGGTGGATGTAAGTGCAACCTGCTGACCAAGAGAAGTCTTCAGTGGCTTCTGGACACGGCTCTGACTTTTGAACCTTTAGGAAATGCATTTACCACGGAGAAGGCGGCTACGACGGAACCGAATGTTTTTCTTGCTGGCCCTAGTGCTGGTCCTCTCTGTCTATCAGCTCCAGTTCAGCCCCTCTTCCCTCCCAGCACCACACACAGCACCCCAACCCATGGACCCTGTCAAAGTTACCTCCAGGGACCTCTCCAGCAACAAGACTGCCCTAACAGGCAATGTCACAGCAACACCCAAAATAAAGCACTGTGTTTATGTGGATCCTGAGCCAACTGTGCCCATCTCTACACCACCACAGCGAGAAAACGTCAGCGAAAGCTACCCAGATAAAAAGCCACCGTACGAGTCCAAAGGAGAATACCCCCAGGACCTATTCAGTGTGGAAGAACGCAGGCAAGGGTGGGTTGTACTTCACATCTTTGGCATGATATATGTATTTGTGGCCTTGGCCATAGTGTGTGATGAGTTTTTTGTCCCAGCTCTGGGAGTGATCACAGAGAAGCTGCAGATCTCGGAAGATGTGGCTGGAGCCACCTTCATGGCAGCAGGCGGATCAGCGCCCGAACTCTTCACGTCCCTCATAGGTGTCTTCATCTCCCACAGCAATGTGGGCATCGGTACCATTGTGGGCTCAGCCGTGTTTAATATCCTCTTTGTCATTGGCACCTGTGCCCTCTTCTCAAGGGAGATCCTCCACCTGACATGGTGGCCCTTATTTAGAGACGTCTCGTTCTACATTGTAGACTTACTGATGCTCATCCTGTTTTTCCTAGACAGTGTCATTGATTGGTGGGAAAGCCTCCTTTTACTGACTGCCTATGCCACATACGTGTTCACTATGAAACAGAACGTTTACCTGGAGCAATGGGTGAAGCAGCAGCTGAACAAGAAGCTAAATGCTGTGCAGGCAGCATCAGCAGAGCATATACAGAAGGTTGGTGTCCTTATTGTTCGGAGGGCAACTTGGAAATAATTCCTTCTAGCCTAAATCACAAAGAAAAACTGCATCTCCTTCACAAAGTGCGTATTCAGACAAACCTCAGAATGCAGGTACTGGTCAATAATTATGGTTATGAAATGAGGGAAATGCCAGCTAGATAGCAGAGATGCTAAGAAATTCGAGAACACCACTAAAAGGGAGTATAAAGATATCAGATGTGGTTGCTTACCTACTTCAAAGACATGTGTGGGATTGCACTTACTCGGTTGTTGTAAAGGAGTTTCAAAAAACACTTGCAGGAACACATTCTGGAAATAAGATTGGGCAATTCTGTGTTAGAGGAAAAAAGGCTTCTGGGAAAAGGTGCTGTCCAAGCCTCTTGCAGATGAGAGATGCTGGAGGAAATACTCCCTCTCTGAAGCTAGGTGTGTTTCTGGGACGCTGGTGGGATCACTTGTTGCCCAATTTGCAGCACGGAAGGGGACCTGGCAGCCTTTAGCAACCATTGCCACCTCTCCCAATCACCTTGTTTGGCAACAAGGTCGAAACACCCCAATCCCATTTCCATGACCCCAGCTGTGTGTGCTCAGAGAGGACTCTACCTGCCACCAGTGCTCAGATGGGGACTTCTGGCTGTAACTATGCACAGATTTGAGGCCAGGGCCCTTCACTCGTTGTCTCTTGAATGAAGAGTTGCCAACTTACACAAAATCAGTATCTGAAGGCATCTACAGAGCCAGTTACCCTTTCAGACTGAGATTTGGCAGGACATGGTCTCCAGAACACCGGGGGCTTTGAGTGTCCCTCCCCAGCTCTCCTACTGCCTCTCTGTCCTCTTGATCTGTGCTGCTATTTAATATCGAGCAGAGACCACTACATTTCAAATTGTCCCCTGGCATTGGCGTGTTTTACTAGCCAGGTGTGTGCCACTCACACTCAACCATGCTTTGTCCCTTCTAATCTTGGCACTCAACGTAATCTAAGGAAAGAAAAGAGGGTGAGGATCATTGAAGTGGTGCAGAATTGAGAAAGTGCTTTCCTTTCCTCCTCTCAGTCCATTTCTCAGCCAGTGCTCGTGGCTGGGAGTCCTGGAAGCTCATGCGTTAAGATACAGCAGCTATACACATACATGGCTGTGGACATCACCAATCATCCCAAATTGAATCCAACCCTTCAGACTGAAGGAAAAAAATGCACTAAGTTTTCAGAGAACTCTCACTAGCATAGAGTAGCATGACAAAGAGCTGGTGGACATAACCCTCAGGGAAAAATAAATCACTTATGTGGAAAGTAATGCTGATCGCTGGGGAAGAAAATACTCCTTTGCACCTTCACTCTGACTCTGCTGGAAAATGAGGATAGAGATATTTGGGGTAGTGGTGTTCAGTCGTTTTTGTTCTTGTTTGCATGCAGAAAAGCAGCCTGGCAGTAGCAGACGAAGGAACAAAGAAGCCACCAGACGTCAGGAAGCTGCAGGTAGGTCAAAGCCACTTCACAGGGATCTGAAGTAATTGGATTTTAAACTCTTCCCAGTGTCAGATCATGAGTAAAGGCAGCAACCTCTGTGTCAAGAAAGCTGGACCAAATCCCACTTAGTGCAAAGAACCAGCCATGCCTGGCACACCATCCACAGCTCACTTGACAGGACACCTGGCTGAGTTGTCTTCTCCTCAAACTGATTTTTATAAAAATAGAGTCAGCTCAGACTTCCCACATGGATTTGACTAGCAGAGTGCTATTCATTCTCTGCTTTAAACAGGGACAGAGAAATTCAG